AAGGATATAAGAAAAATAAATATTAAATATTACGAAAATTTTAGATTATTTTTAGACTGAGTTAAAAACAAAATAAAAAAATATTTTATAATGACTAAAGTATTCTAATGATGAAATAGGGATATATGATATAGAGGATTAGTCTTTGATAAAGATAATGCACTGTGCATAATCGCTCGAACAAAAGTTTGGAAGTGCTGTGTTAAGTGAATCGCCTCTCTTTGTTTCGTATCATTCCGAATTAATTGAACTGACTGGCAACCCCAGTCACATGCATGCATTTGACTTTTCAAATTAATTTATTGAAAACAGATCCATAAAAACTGATAGACATATTTGTTATATACATATTCGTTATATACGAATATCAGCTATTCAATGATATTATTATCTTTCATGCATTTCTATCAGTTTGATAAGTGAACTATTTTACGATGAAAGTCTCCAAGTTCACGGCAAATCGCAACTGATCACACTGCACGTAACCCAATAATATCGTATCATCGTTGAAAACATAATATTATCTGAAATTGCAAGTAGAACTCTATCATAATTGTCCGACGCATGACAAATTTATTTCACGTTAAATACTTTTTGATGATGACAAATATGCGAAAAAAACGATAATAACAATTTTGTGTTAGCGACCAATTATAAATAATTAATCAAAATATAGCAAGCAACTTGCGTATTTAAAATTGAACGAATAAAAGATAAAGATTTAATATTTGATTCAAATATATTTTTTGAATTTTCCGCCGCTTTAAATTTAGTTTACCCCTTGTTAATAGCGATTTAAATAATTCATATGAGAGCCGGAAAGTGATATATAGTTACATAATTGATACATACAGAGGTTTATTAAGTCACTGTTTATTAATAACTTTTTCATAAACGATATATGCAATTCGCTTCGGGACTGCATGTTATTTGGAGAAACGTGTCGTGCGCGCAATATCAAAGGCCGTGCGAACTCATTTCCTGTTTGTACAAGATACACCTTCGCTGCCGGACGCGAATTTGTCGGATCACTGCTTCGTGCGATCATACTTTCTCGCTTTACTTTCCAACTGCAATAAAGCGCATGTGGTATTCTAAGTACCACATGATCGTCTCATTCTGCTGATTGATACACTCACGGTCACATGTTTTCGTGAATTTGTTTGTGTGAGTGTCATGAAGAATCAACAGGGATGGGTGTAAAAGCGGGAAGAGGAGAAAGGAAAAGGGGAACAAGAGGGGGAGAAAGAAGAGGAGAAGAAAAAGATCTAGGAGCAACGGTTGAGTATCCGAGGAATGAATAATTTATTTATATGCCATTTACTATCTGCAGAATTGATCGTTTCCGTGTTAGTCGCATCTGAGACGCAAATGATGCAAATGACGCGCTTCGCGACGATCTTGTAGCATTCTATGCGAAAGATGTGTGTACGTATAATATTTTTGATTATTAAAAAAATTTAGATAATAGAATTAGAGTTTTGTAGAAGTCATTATAGTTTTTACAAAAAGACATTTTATAAAGAATGAATTGCACGATTTCAAGTATTTTAATTTTGTATTTTTATACAAAGATACAGTAATTAAAGATAATAAAACTTCCTCTTTCTTACTAAAACCGGAACTTATAATCATAACATTTGCACATATGTTAACGTGTTATACAAAGGATTATATTATTATATTATTCATTCCAAATATTCTAATCGTTTCTCTCCGTATAAATTAAGATATGAAGTTATTAGAGATTAAAGATTGTTTAATTCTTGCTTATTTTCTTACTCGTACGTATCAAGAGCTTCTAAAAATACTTACATAAAAAAATATATTATTAATAATATCATAAATGTTCAAGTTTTTATTTTATTCCAACCTTTTCTATATCTTTTTGTGTAAAGATACGGTAATTAATATAATAGAAACTAATTAAATGTTCAGAAAATTTCTATGGAAATTTTTATTGAAAGATTAATTACAAAGTTTCGCTATAAACGTAAAAAATTTCTCGTATTGCAGAAAAAAAAATTCGTATTTAAAGCTGTTGAATAGCTGTCTCTTATA